AGTCCGACCAGGTTTACTCAGAGTTTGTTTCCGCAAACTTCATTTCTGGGTCTTAATCGTGAGAAAGGGTCGGACGTAGAGACTGTCTACCGGATAGATATGCTCTTATTAGCCCCCGAGTGAGGCCCGACCCCTTGCCGTTGCTGGGGTCGGGTGTCACTAAAGGTCAGGGAGTCGATATCGGAACTGATAAGAGAAAGTGTACATATATTAAGGGTAGAAGCGACATAGCTGCTCGATGTTCCAGGCATTGATGAAGACCTCACCGTCGATGGCCTTGAGCTTGTAGGCGCCTGGTCAGAGCACCTCTGCGACAACATACGGTCCCACCCACAGCGAAGAGAGCACGTGATGGTTCTTGTTGCTCTGGACGAAGCGGAGCACCAGGTCCCCGATGTTGAAGGCCCAACCCCGCACTCGACGGCTATGGTACCAGCGCAACGCTTGCTGGTACTTGGCCGAGAGGAGGGCAATGTCGCGTGTTTCATCTAGATGGGCTCCTTCCTGTGCTCCCCCTTGTTGGAGCCTCCGGACAAGAACCGCTTTAAGAGGTCGTAATCCTTGTATAGGTGCTCGACGGTGAAGGAATGGTTTGGGCATGGCCTTCAAGCAGCTCCTCAAAGTGGTTTGGGGTACCCTCAGTAGGCTTTCGACCCCCTTTGTGGTCGGCGGCTGCCACGAGCGAGCCCTCGTGCCGCTGCTTGTTCTTCTTCTTAACGGGACGGTTGGGGGCGCCTTCGTCCTGCTTCGCCTTGCCTTTGAGGCAGCCGAAGATCGCTCCGACTACCTCCTCGCTCGAGGCATGGATGGTGGCGATGTCGAGGAGCTCCTTGGTGGTTTGCGGTGCCTTACGTCCTAGCTTATGAACTATGGACTCGCAGATGACCCCAGAGGCATGGTTGGTGGCGGTGCCGGCGACGTTAGGCAGCTCGTTGCACTACCAGGAGAAGCGCCGGATGTACCCACGGAGGGTTTCTCCAGTCTTCTAGCGGTAGTTTTTGAGATCCCATAGGTTCCTAGGACGCTTGTACGTGCCGTAGAAGTTTCCCACGAAGATCTCTTTCAAGTCCGCCCAACTTTGGATTCTGTTGGGCGAAAGGTGTTCCGACCATGTTCGCGCCAAATCGGCCAGGAACAATGGAAGATTGCAGATAATGAAATCATCATTATCCGCACCTCCGGCTTGGTACTGTGGTCCCTTACATCCCCAGAGTATTTTAGGATGTTGGTTGGTGGTCGGTACTGTGGCGAGAAGGCGGCGTTGAGGATGTGTCGGCTGAAGGCTTAAGGTCCCGGCAGGACGGGGCTCGGACTTCGGTCCTCGCCATTGTCGTAGCGTCCGCCACGACGAGGGTGGTAGCTGTGGCTAGTTGCCTCCCTCGGATCGCTGTGGACATGCCTGCGGGCATCGAGGGTATCACGTGCGTCACGCTTGTGGGCGAGACGCTGATGTATTGGGACCGTGGTGCGCAGCCTGCCGCCTTGTGGCGCCTGGTGGACTGATGCGTCCTTGTTAGGTTGCTCCGAGGGCGTGCGCTTGCTAGCGTCGAGCTCGCGTCACCGAGACAGCGAGCTCTCGGCCTGCTGTGTCGCCGCACGCTTGAGTAGCATGTGAATCTTGCGATGGGCCCGATGGTCTTCGGGCGTTGCGAGGCCCGAAAGCCCCCGGAGCAAGGCTGCCTCAGCGGCGATGTTCTGGCTCGCCCGAGCGAAGTACGGGAGTGCTTCATTGTCATCGATGATCCTCCGATTCATGTTGCAGGCCATGGCGCGTGCACGCCCACCGTCTCCGTGGCGCTCGATCTCTCGATCGAGCTCCGCGCGTTCCTGCTCGAGCTGGAGTCATGTTTCCTCGAGCTCTTGGTGTCGGGCCTTCAACTGCTCCACCTGCAGGCAACGCGGAGCCCCTACATCCCCCTGACCTCATCGTCGAGGTCATTCATTGGGGTAGCCTTTTCCTCGTGGATGCTTTCGACGTGTCCCTCGGGGGTACCCGCCATGAAACACTCACGAGAGGGGTGATGGCTCCCCCTGCTGGAGTCAGAGCTGAAGGGCGACTCTGATTCTACCACGAGGAGGTCGTGGAAAGACTCTATGACATATTCGGTCATCCCCACGAGCTCGTCGTTCGCGGGGGATGGAGGCGTGCATTGCGCCATAGGGTGGTCAACGGTCTCTATGGCATTGCGAAGACTAAACGGGAGTGCTATCGGGGCGCTCCGGATGAGGTATGCCGGAGAGAGCGGCTCTCCTCCGGCAAGCTGCGCCATGACATTGGCGAATGAAAAGGTGAGGTGGCGCAGGTCCTCCTAGGACGGTCGGGGTCCTAGGAAGGCGTTGAGCTGGCGCTCTAACCTCCCATAATTGAAGCCGAGGAGCTGGTCGTTCCTAGGGGCACGGGCCTTCGGTGCGTGCAGCTGCAACTCCTCCAGCGCCTCGGCGATCGCACCGAGGCCTGTGGAGTGGAGAGGTTGGACGACGACAGGAGCCTGCGCCAACTATCCTTCCATCGTGACGATGAAGTCCAGGTCCCCGAAGCACACGTGTGCGCCCAGGACCTAGCTGACGTTGTGACTAGCCATCCGAGGCCTGGTGTGGATGTCAAGACGCGCAAAAGGCCCCTACCTGATGCGCTAACTGCGATGTTTCGAGTAGCCATCGGCAAGTAAATTTCTAATATTGCGCGTCTGGCTCGGATGGTGCGCTAAGAGGACACGAGCTTTATACTGGTTCGGACAGAATGTCCCTACGTCCAGTTCGTTGCTGCTGCTCGTGTTACTAGCACTGAAAGTTCGTAGTAGGGGTTACAAATGGTCGAGAGAGGGACAGGTCCCAAGTCTCTGGTGAGAGGACCGAACGGGTGCCGAGAGCTTGGTCGCTTCTCGGCTGTGTGCTTGTGTGTTGAAAGCTCTAGTTTGGTTTTCGGCTGTGTCTACAATACGGCCTACTAGTCTTCGCTCCAGGACGCTCCATTCTGTGTGGTGTATGGCCGCGACCTGCCGACGATTCACTCCTATGAGCCGGACGAGACACGCGTGGCCGCTGTCGCCAAGAACATGGCGGACCACGACGAGTTCTTGGCGGACGTCCGCTACCGACTGGAGCAGGCCCAGGCGGTCTAGAAGAGGCACTATGACAAGCTGCACCGCCCTGTCTCCTATGCAGTGGGCGATTGGGTCCTGCTCCGCCTCCGTCATGGTGTTGCCATCTCCCTGCCCTAGGCGACCAAAGGGAAGTTGAAGCCTCACTTCTTCGGGCCATACCGCGTCACCGAGCTCATCAATGCTGTCGCAGTGCACCTTGCTCTGCCTCCACGCACTCGGCTACACGACGTCTTCCACGTCGGCCTCCTCAAGAAGTTCATCGGTGTTCCGCCAGCTGCTCCACCACCCCTCTCGGCCATCCACAACGGTGCTGCAATCCCCAAACCAGAATGTGCGGTACGCACCCGCTTGGCACGCGGCATCCGCCAGGTGCTTATCCACTGGAAGGGGGAGACTGCTGCCTCCGCGACATGGGAAGATGTGGACTCCTTCCTCGACCGGTACCCAGCATTCCAGCTCGAGGACGAGCTGCTAGTCGAGGGGGGAGAGATGTCATGTGGGGCCGCGTCTACAAAGGAAACGCCGCCCCCGGGACGCGCGCAGGGCCGCAGACGGCGCGACACCAGCACCATAGGCACGGTCACCGCGCTCTGCATGGCGAGTGCTGAACAGTCAAGTGGCTAGAAGGAAGGAGAGCCCATTACGGCCTTAGCTACCGGTTGTCAGGGGCGTCATGGGACAAGGTAGGAGGACCCCGGCTACGTAGTTCGTATCCGCGATCCGTGGTTAGGGGTGAGGTTTTACCCCTCAGCGCCCGATTGATTCAGTAAAGGGAGATTAGGGAATTGAGTAATTGTTCTTGCTTGATTAGCACCACACACGAGTACAAGATTTATAGGCCATTCGGCCATAACAACCTGGAGCCAATTGCTCCTAAATCTAAGGCCGTAATTGGCTTTCCTTCCTTCTGGGCACTTACCTGTTCAGCGCTCGCCATGCAGAGCACGGTGACCGCGCCTATGGTGCTGGTGTCGCGCCGTCTGCGGCCCTGCGCGCGTCCCGGGCGCGGCGTTTCCTTGTGTAGGCGCGGCCCCACATGACATAGACATGGATATGATTGTTGCTACAGTAGCAAACATATGGATGGTTTAGGCATAGAGATGTCTGCTGTAGTATTACCGAAAGCATAGCTTGATGCCTTCGCCACAGGTTGAAATTCAGATGAATCGCACACACCTCCGGCACCATTAGAGACTTTAGAGCCATCCCTGCTACATGGCACACATGTCCGCCCATTACATATGTACTAGTACAAGAATACAACAAAGTAGAGCATATACGGCTATATAAGTTTTAACAGATACTCCCAGCAGTCCTGCTGTTGTGTCAAATTTCAAATTATAAGGGGAAAAAATGAGCTCAACTGTAACTGTCGATCATGCCCCAGTGCCCATGTTCTTTCCCAGTGGCATGCCCCAGAGGTGTGATTTCAACTTTCAACTGTATTCGTTGGAATCTCCATCTTCAGAATTTGACCAAAATTAACATAGAATCTATGTGAAGAGTCTGCAGAACAGACAAAGAGGAAGTTATCCATTCCAACATTCTTCTACTTGGTATCATGGAATTCTTCGATTTCACATTGTAATCAAAACCAAGGTACACTATATATATTTTTTCATGAACAACAAAATGATACACCTAGCGTCCTGATTCCTGAATCATTACAAAATCACATGACAAGACAAGGTTAGGACATAACCTACACACCTAGTGGATGGTAATACATATTCAAATTGGCCATAGCTGCTGAGGATCCTGGAGTAGTTTGTGGAGCACCAAATATCCATTATTGAAGCAAAGCAGGACATGGCCGGTATCTCGCCAGTCATCCGTGAAACAGATGAGATGGTAATATGGTGTTAGTGTTGTTGAGCAAGACCTCCGACAAATGGACTATTCTTTATTCATCCAGATCACTGACGAGCATTCATGGCTGAGCGCACAAGGGCAAGCGTGAGGAGGAAGCCCACCACACTGAGTGCTGCCATTCCCATATCGATCACAGTCATCGTTCCCCTTTCTACATCGAAACGCCAAAAAGGCGTTGCTATTGTTCCTCCAGCCTTGTCGTGTTGTAGCTCCCAGTGCTCCCATCATCTCTTTGCTTGTTTTCTGCAAACAGAGGTGTGCACTGCCATGTTTAGACTTCCAAGACATCCGATACATCATCGCCTCAGCATTATGGTGAAGATATTCTACCGCCTTGGGCAGCACGAGACTGTCAAGTTGGTGTGGATGAACATTTGCATCTAATAACTGCTCTACTGCAGAGCTCTCAGCTTCAGTAGCAAACTTGATGTCTTCCAAAGGGTGATGCGGCATGAAGAGAACTCCCAGCTTCAAAAGCAAGACATCCTCTTGGAAAGATGACGTACTGTGACATGTCATCTTTGACCCCTGCAATTCCCGATACTCAGACAGTAAAATGTGACGCTGCAAAAACACTCCAATGACTTGTTCTGGGAATATGCCTGATAGCCCCGGTGCATTTGTGCTGCTGCTACAAGCTGCAGACATGTTTTGGAGCTCATGCTGTTTGCAGCAGAATGGATCTGAACGGAACCATCGAGTCAAAGTGTCATGAACTTGGTTCCAGTGTTCCATGTCACCTGGTTCATCGTACGTAGGCGACCACTTAAAGTCCTGCATAGGAAGCTGAGTGAGCTCTCCGATGACTACCTCGCTGATAGAGTTGAAGTGAGGTGTGAGCAGTTGCAAACACTTGACAGTAATCCCAATGACGTCTGTACTCTGGGAAAGACGCAGCATGAGCCCCAGGCGAAAATTCTCCTTGGGTGCCTTGCAGTCTTCATGGATGAATACCAGCATTGCTTCCAGTCCGCGCTCCTCAAAACTCATAGGCCGTATGCTGAAACATTTGAGCATACTTCCCTGGTGTGTAACATTTGATAATGTGCATATTTGCCTGCAAAGAGATGACGGACAAGGGGGGCAAGGAAACTGTATGGTCGCGGTGTTCCACCCAACTCCACCAATCTCAGGAAATCACCAGCACCATTTGCTAGCCTCTCGAACCTTTGCACGGCAGCCTTGCTTGAGGGTTCACCATTGTTCCTGTGACTCACAAGAGAGGATAAAAATGATTTGGTGCTATGAGCTACTCGTCTAGGAAACGAGGACTGCCTGAGCTTCTCTTTGGTCTCTTTGTCTTCAAGAGATCTCTTCTTACATCTTCGAAGCTCATCATCGCACTCTAAAGCAACATGCTTCAGCTTCTTTCTCCAGCGCAGCAGTGCCACGTCGGTGATCTGCCAATGGTCCGACGTCTCGATGGTAGCATCGAGTTTGATGCACGCCATCTCTAGCCTCTCTATGTTGCTACTGTCTCCATCTGATCCATCATTGTACTTGTCGATGATACTGGAAAATATTTGACCGACTACCTCCCCAACAATGGCAGAACTGGCCATCTCGGCCATTTTGATTTGTCTTAGTGTCTATTTAAAGCAAACTTCCCCTGCACAAGAGAACAAAAGGAGTAGCATTAGAGTGGCACTGGAGGCGCAGGTATGTAAGATTCCAGATACAGATCTTTTGTCACACTATACGAGATCTCATCCTAATCCTAACCTTGTCTTACGTATGGACCGACCTAATGATTTGGGAGCATGAGAAGAACAAAGCAAGCTGAAAGGTGTACAACAGAATGTGCTTTCAAGTTGAGTTTTACTAACTGATTACTTGATTAAGTATGGGAGCTGTGGTCAAAGATTGAAATTTGAAACACAAATACAAATCTGGAAAAAAACCCCCTCCCACTGGTGAACCAAATTATAAGGGGGGTTATTTAGAAAACAAGAACAAGTGATCTGCAGGTGCAGCTTCTTCTTGTTGTTCTGCATCTTCTTGCCTTTGGGGTTCCAGTTCATCTAACTGAGGTGCTGCTGCTTCTTGTTCTTGCCTCTGTTGTCCCAAATCACCTAACTCCAGTATTGGATGAGCATTAAACGGGTCTTCCCCTTCCCCAATAGAAGATTATCTCCTTTTCTTTTGTAAAAGGAACTGAGATTTTTCAGACGCAACATTACTACCTAATTAAAAAAATCAAGTCTAGTCAATTTTATTTGATCTAGCAAAATCATACCAAATTAGCTGGTAAGAATTAGGGAAAGAAAGAAATTGGGGATCAAACTAACCTGTAGCAAGCCAGCAAAGGGCAGCGTTGAACGCTCCCACATTCGAGGAGCTGGACGGCTGGACGCGGCCGCGGCAGGCAGTCGTCGGGAATCGGGATCTCGTCGTCTCGCCCACGCCGAGGACTCGAGCACCGCGGCGACGCAAGAGGAGGGCGACAACCGCGCTGGCCGCTGGGTGCTGCTGGCTGAGTGACCGGAGCCTGAAGCTGGGGCAGCGAGCACGCCGTGACGCAGAGCGGCGGAGGGATGGACCGCCGGACGGCCGGAGGCGAAGAGCCGGAGACGGGAGGTCAGAAGATACGATGCGAGTACGCCGTGACGCGAAGCCTGGAGTCGTCTGGTCGCTCCGTCCTCCCTGCCTCCGTTCATATTTCTCTTTTTAACAGACTGTTCGCCGGTGGGTTTGTGGGCGGAGGAAGCTGGCTGATAAGTCATGGCTCAGCAAGCGAACAGGTTGTTTGTGGCGCCAGAATTCAGCGGACTCCACGCTAACTCAACACGGTGCCCTGGCAAACGCGCACACCGAACAGGACTTTTTGGATGGAACGCTTTGGTGCTTGGTACGTGGTAGAACAATGCAATCGACAAATGACGCCATTGTTGCATGGTGTGTGCGCGCGTTACGAATATCTGTGTAACTGTGTCGTACTGTTATGTGGTGTACTGTGTAATAAAAAAAAAGAACAACGAGTTGTATTTTTTCCATCAACACTAGTCACGACGTTATAACTGCTGACACTACGAAAAGGACAAAGAGACTTGCAAACTGTGTGCGACCTGCTACCAGTTGACCTGCAGCAGCACAGCGACAGCCTTTACCCCTTCCTAGGATGGGCTTGTTCGGCCGGTATTAAAACCGGCTAATAAATCAGCTGAAGCTGATTTGTTGTGAGAGAAAAATACTATAGATTCTAGCTGATAAGTTTAAGCGAACAGGTCCGAAAACGGTACGGATATTTTCCGACCGTATTCGAGACCGAATTCATTTAGAGGGGTTTAGATCCGTTCGTATCCGAGTCCGGATATTCATCATCAGATACCGTATCCGTATCCGTATCCAAATAATCAAATCGTATATTTATGATGTCGATATTCAATCGTATCCTATCCGGCGTGGTTGACACCATACGTATTCGAATCCGAATCCAGAAAGAAATATGAAAACAAATGTAATATCAGTGATATTCGTTCGTATCCGACCCGTTTTTATCGCTACCCTTTCCAATTGATAGTAGATACGCTCGATTAGTTAAATTTCTTGTACTGAAACCCATCCATAACTAGATTTAAATTTTAGATTTTTCACAAAAAAGATTTAAATTCTCTAGATTAAGCACATATGTTTGCATTTTTTTAGATTTTTTTCTAGAAGTTAACAACTCTATTCTTTTCTTGGGTAGGTGACCCGCACATCAACAGTGAGATGCTTTTAGTGACTGTCATTTTTAAGATGTGTTGACCCAACCTCTTTAGAAGTGCTCATGAGGTATAGTGTGCTGGCACGTGTTCATAGGTTGATTGTGTGGGCAAATATTTAAGTCCTAAGTATTACAATTAGTAAAAAATAACATTAAAATGTATCATTTTCTATGTTTGCCATGTTCGTTTCCTTTATAATCCGTCTTTTTCAGCTTGTTTTTTCAGTCGAAACAGTGTTTTTCTCTCATGACAAATCAGCCGGAACAGTGTTTCGGCTTGTTTTTTCAGCGAAGCGAATAGGGCCGTTGCCGAATATATGTCCTTTTAGGGCCTCTATGTTAATTCTTACAAGATACGGTATAAAAAGATCTCGCGCCCAACTGCCAACTGCTCTTCCACTGCCTCTGCAGTTTTCTCAATCCTCTCGGAGATGCTTTGAGAATCGAGTACATGTGCCAGGGCAGCTACGATTCAGTGTTTGCGCATATCAACAACTCTGAATATCTTACCTTAGTTAGAATCACAATAATCCTTGTAAATGTCAGCTAATAAAATCCTTCCATATACTACTCTCCTTCAGAAATGAAGCAGCAGTATGTATCATCGTTAGCGATAGAGTAGTGGGTAGAGGATTGGAGAAGAAGAGTATCGTGACATTCTTCCACACTTGAGCAACAGCTCGCCCTCAAGTTGTGATCCTGAATAAGCATATATTGTTCAATAGAGCATAAAAGGACTCCATCCATCTCAATTCAAGCGGATACCGAGCCTCCGCAAGATCCCCTACTCGGAAGGGTAGAGCCAAATGACACTCGCCTCGATAGCCGAGTACCGCGCTCGAGCTAGTAACAGGTAAATCTGTATAGGACTCAAAGCTTCCTTCTGATAGTTTGAGGGTGCTGGACGGTTTGGGGTGCTAGAACGACATTATCTTCAATGGAAGGCATCGAAGTATCAACGATTGCAAGAGAGTGTGCATGGATGAAGTAACTCTCACCTCCCTGCGGGCAAAAAAAGCCAGCGTTTGATCTGGATCCAGAACCTGCTATAGCCTGGCTGGTTAGCGGCCTGTTTTTTTTTTCTTTACCTTTTTTTTGTTTCCCCTTTTTTCTGTTCAGGTGTAACTTTGCTCCTCGTTTTAATATAAAGCTGTAGGGGCTTCGGACCCTTCAATTTCTCAAAAAAAAAAATCCATCACCTTTAATATCTACATCCAAATGGAGCCCAAATAAATTTCTTATATTTATACTCGTTCCATCCTAAATTATGAGTCATTCTAACTTTCTTAGAGGGTCAAAAACATATCAAGTTTAACCAAAATTATATAATAAAATAATAAAATTTATGGTACCAAATAAGTATCATTAGATTCTTCATTAATTATATTTTCATAGTATACCGAATTGATGTCATAAATCTTTATAATTTTCTCTAAAATTTTGGTCAAAGTTAAGATGTTTTGACTCTAAAAAAAGATAGAATGACTCATAATTTTGAAAGGAGGGAGTATATCTTAAAATTGCTCACCCGTGCAGTAGTACAGATTGATGGACTTGCTCTTGGGCATGCTCGTTGCAGTGGCGGACCCAGCGGGTAGCATAGGTAGGCCGAGGACTACCCATAAATTTGGTCCAAAATTTTATTACTACTCTTCAGAAACCGGTCCACGGTCACTCTCGTCTCAGCCCAGGCCGAAGACACCGTAAATCCATGAGCTCTTAAAAAAATAACGCGCCCGAGAGAGATCGAACCGGAGACCTCATGCCTCATGCTGCAATGCGCTTATTAATCCAGCTACGAAAGTTTGTTGGATAGGTGATACCCGTAACCCTATTTAATAAGGAAAAATAGGAAAAAATACCCCTTCATTAATCATCTCTTGGTATGCTAAATCATATCCTAAACGACTTTCTTTACCAGTATGAAGAGAGTATTTATGATAGTTTCGAACCTTTTAAATGTATTATCATAATTTGGTTAATTTATAGCTATGTTTGCCAAACTTTTTGTTTGGATTTTATAGTATTACACATGAAATTTTTTTACCAGGACTACCCTGGTCTCAGATCCTGGGTCCGCCACTGGCTCGTTGTAGCACCAACGCATTTTTGTGTAGCTACTCGTACCAAATAATCATACACAGTTTTTTTTTTCTTTTCAAAGGGATGGAAGAGGGTACGTATTTTATAACCTGATAATTCCTATGACTTTAGTCTAGCAATATCATACATAGACCAGTCTTAATATAAGTGCTATTTCTGTTAACTTCACCTGCCACATTTTAAAACTGAAATAATTGAAGAGAACCATCAATCCACACACCAACGAAGGCTGTAGCAACCTGAGGAAAATGAAACCAATGAGAAGTTCAGACTAACATTGTGGTGCCACCATCCCAACAAACAAGAAGCTGCGTAAATGCATACCTTGTATTGTAGTGAACTCCTAAAATAACAGGTAGCATCCAAGCCTTCAACCAGCTAATCCATTTACTCTTATGGGGACAATAATTCTTCGCCAAAAATTATCCTCGGTTGATTCAACAGTAACCATTCTGATGTGACTAATCTTTATAAGTTCTTCATTTGCGTCACATTCCTGCTCAAGCATTTCTATAAGCTCATCTGCAGCATCTACCAATCGTAATTGCTCTAGGGCCTTAAGATACTCAATGCCATGAGGGAGGCACTTCAATTCTGGGCATTGTAGAAACCATAGCTTATTAATGCTTCTCAGTGCAACTTCTTCCATTTCAACTTGGTTGAGGAGTGGTCGTGTGGAGCACACCATATCCGTAGTTCTCTCACTTTAGGAAATGACTGCGCAGGGAAGCATAATGTATATCCATCATAAGCCTTAACAAGCTCCAGAAAGCATAAATTGTCTAACACCTTGAGGCTTGGAAATGAGTTCTGGTCAAGTTTGGAGAGCATCAGACACAATATTTTGATGTTATTAAGGTGCTTCCAGGATTTGAGAATATAAGGCATCTGGGTATTTTCCAGCTGCCCTACAAGTACAAGTTTATAGACTAACTCTTAATGAAACACGTGCTAAGCACGTTCCCAAAAAAAGTACAAGTTTATAGAGAGTTTCTGGTAAACATAGTTCTTCCAATGGCAATAATTCATTTTCGTTTGATGTTGTAATTGACAAGCTGACAAGATTGCTCATACTCTGGAGAGCACTACGGAGGCTTAACGAATGCTCACTTGTTACACTATCAACTGCAATGTCCGTAAATCCGTCAAAGATGCAACTTCAGATAGAGTCTCTAAGCTTGCTTTTACCTTTTGCAGAGCATGCAATCTTGTCAAGTTCTTTATAGCACCCCTAGTCACCTTAAGTCCACCGTAGCGCAAGAAAGGTCCCTTAATGATCTTTTTAGTTGCATATAGGTACCTTAGCTTCTTCAGCTTTGCTACATCCTTTGGTAAAGATAGAAAACCAGTGTTGAATGCATCCAGTACTTCTAGGTTTTGCAATCTTCCAACGGCCTCTGGTAAAACCTCAATTCGAGTATTCCGAAGACCTAAGAAACGCAGATTAAACAAACTGAAGACCTCATTAGGAAGGATCTTGATTGCAGTATGTTAGCGGCCCATCTACGGCAGCGACTTCAGAAGAAGCGGCCCAAGTGCCTCGGACTGGAACACGCGCTCGCCGGCCCAACGTGCGTCTTGCTGGCGCTGAGTGGTTGTGAGTGTGCCTGCGAGCACCGGTGGGCGAAAGCCTTGTAAATAGACGCTACCAGAGAGAAGGGAGGATTATGAAGAATTTTGTAACCAGACTCTAAACTCTCAAGCACTCATCCTTCCTGCCTTTCCTTCTTGCTTGATTGCTATGCTGTTCGTCTGATCCTTTACCCAATTTGCTTCTATTTCCTGCCTACTGCTGACAATTGGTATCAGAGACACCGATTTTGGGTTTCCTCATCGATTCGCTTTTCCTCCATCAGTTGATTTGAGCAAGTGATCCGGTTGGCTCGATCTCGTTTCTAGCAGTGAGCTGCTGCTAGGGATTTGGTCGCCGTAATTCCCTTCTCCGCTCGAATCGACTTGTGGTTGCGGTAGATCTGGATCATCCCCAACCTTTAGCCCACGACCACTTCACCCGACGACAGCACCGCCTAGGAATCATGAACCCGGAGACCAAAATCATCCTCGAAGAGATCAACCGCCATTTCAACGAGCATGATAAGAAGTGGGATTCGCGTTTCGCATATCAGGATGCGCGCCTCTCTCGTCAGATCCGAGACTTCGAGCAGGCGCAGGAAGGGCGCATGGCGGCTCTGGAGAAGGTCACCGCGTCGCTCGATGAGTGGCGGCCGTCGATTGAAGGCATCGTTGACGACATGAAGCTCGACATCTCGAAGTCCAAGTTGGAGGTGTCGAAGATCTCTCGCAACTGGGAGCGGGCGATCCTAGAGCAACCGACTACCACGCCGGGCGTCTTCGCCGCTGTTCCGTCAGCTGTCGAGCGTCCATTCGTCAACGCTCCAGCAAATCTGCCCAATGGGCACTGCGTCGACAATCACCACCGGAAGAGTGGATTTGGGGTAGTTTCTACCCTGATTCATTCCCCGGTCAAGGGTATGCCACCATTCCCCACTCCTCCCTCCCCGAGATCTGTTTTCCAGTCTACTGATGATCCTGGAGTTCGTAGTGGTACCACCGGGGTGGGGCATAACAGTTCCAGCCACCCAAACTTCCTAAATTTGATTTTCCTAAGTTTGACGTATCCCAACCCAAATACTGGCTTAGTCAATGCAAGGATTACTTTGATCTATATGGTACTGAACCTCACATGTGGGTTAGGGTCGCTAAAATGCATTTCACACATGCTGCTAAGTTGGTACCCTTTTGTTGAATCCCAGCTCCAATCCGCTACTTGGCCTACTTTTACTCGCTTGATCCTTGATCGTTTTGGCTAGGATGAGCATGAGCTTTTGCTTAGACAACTTTTTCAAATCCGTCAAACTAATTCTGTTCAAGAGTACATAGACCAATTCATTGCTATCGTCGATGATTTATCCGCTTATGGTGGTACCACAGACCCTCTCTACTATGCTATGAGATTTGTTGATGGTTTGAAAGATTATATTAGAGCTGCAGTGGCTTTGCATCGTCCCCAAAATCTGGATACTGCTTGCCTTCTTGCTAAATTACAGGAGGAGGTTGCTGAACCGGCCAAGAAGAGGGACTTCCGCCGTGCGGAACATCCGGTGGGGCCCTGTCCGTATGCTCCACGGGCGCTTCCTCTACCTCCACCACATCCCCATCTTGCACTTTCGGCTGCCGAGGTGAAGCCGTTGTGGACGCTGGGCGTGGCCCTACCTTGGATGAACGCTGGTCCGCTCTCCGCGTGACCCAGCGTGCTCAAGGCCTCTGTATGAGGTGTGGTGGCAAATGGAGTCGTGATCATCAATGCCCTGCTGCCGTCCAATTACATGTCGTTCAAGAGCTGTTGGATGTTTTTCGTGAAGCCACTCCTATTGAAGCCGCGGATTCAGTTCAGGAAACAAAGCCGGAGCAGTTGTTTCTCTCTTTATCAGTGGCAGCGGTAACTGGAATGGTTCAACCGTGAACTATGTGTTTTTGGGGTCTCCTTGGCGATCAACATGTTAAAATTTTGCTTGATTCGGGTAGTTCCCATACTTTTATCAGCTCAGCTGTTGCTTCGGGGTGTCCAACTCTGCAACAGTTGCCTCTTCCCTTGCAAGTCCAGGTCGCTAATGGGCAGGTGCTCACTTGTTCTTCACACATTCCTGATGCTAGTTGGTCTATCCAGGGTTGTCCGTTTTCCTCAGATTTGAAGGTTCTTCCATTGTCCTCTTATGACATGATCTTGGGTCTGGATTGGCTGGAAGCCCATAGTCCGATGGCAGTCCATTGGGGTCAGAAGTGGATTCAGCTCCAACATCAGGGCACTACTGTTCAGTTAGTGGGTATTCTGCCGGATCTGGCAGCTGGAGCAGTTTTATAGCTATGTTCTCTTGATCCTCAGCAGCCTTCTGATCATCCTACTTATCCTGTCGAAGTTCAACACCTGATACAAGATTACTCAGGGTTGTTTGATCCACCAAATCAGTTGCCTCCTTCTCGCAACTGTGATCATTCAATTCCCCTAGTTCCTGGAGCAGCTCCGATCTATTCTCGTCCTTACCGTTTCTCCCCAGCTATCAAGGATGAGGTGGAAAAACAAGTCAAGGACATGTTGGCCTCAGGTATTATTCAAAAGAGTACCAGCCCATTCTCTTCGGTTGTACTGTTGGTTAGAAAAAAGGGCAATACATGGAGGTTCTGTGTCGATTACCGGCAACTGAATGCTATCACAGTTAAAGGCAAATATCCAGTACCCATAATTGATGAGCTTCTAGATGAGTTGGCTGGAGCTTCTTGGTTTTCTAAACTCGATTTACGCTCGGGTTTCCACCAGATTCGGTTGAAGCCCGGTGAATAGTTCAAAACCGCATTTCAAACTTATTTTGGACAGTTTGAGTTCAGAGTCATGCCATTTGGCCTCACAGGAGCACCTGGAACATTTCAAGATGCCATGAATTCAACTCTGGCTCCTTTTCTCCGGAAATTTGTCTTGGTTTTCTTCGATGATATCCTGATCTTTAGTCCATCCTATGAGGAACATCTTCACCACCTACGGTTGGTATTTCAGCAGCTTCAAGCTCATGACTGGAAGATCAAACTTGCTAAATGTGAGTTCACCAAGCAAAGTATTGCATATCTCGGCCATGTCATTACTCCAGCAGGGGTTACCACTGATCCTCAGAAAGTAGCGGCTGTGGTCAATTGGCGTACTACCCAGTCAGTTAAAGATTTGCGTAGTTTTTTGGGTTTAACCGGGTATTACAAAAAATTTGTTCGCAATTTTGGTGTCATTGCAAAACCGTTGACCGAGCTACTTAAAAAGAACACCTTGTTCATCTAGACTTCTTCCCACGATCAGTCATTCCAAGCTCTAAAGCACACCCTGAGTTCTTCACCAGTTCTTGCTTTGCCTGACTTCTCCAAGCCATTTAGCATTGAGACAGATGCTAGTGCCAGTGGTATTGGTGCTGTTCTTACTCAGGAGGGTCATCCCGTGGCGTTTCTTAGCAAAGCATTGGGACCCCGTTCTCGTGGGCTGAGTACTTATGAGAAGGAATACATGGCAGTTTTGATGGCCGTTCAGCAGTGGCGTTCTTATCTACAACATGCTGAATTCACCATTTTTACTGATCAGTAGAGCCTTGTCCAACTTACTAACCAGCGTTTGCATACCTCGTGGCAGCAGAAGCTCTTTTCTAAGCTCATTGGTCTCCAATTTCGCATTGTATACAAGCCAGGTGCTGCAAACCAAGTAGCTGATGCTTTGTCTCGCAAGAGTTTTCATGATTCATCATGTGCTGCTATTTCTGTGGTTGCCCCTACTTGGATACAAGAGGTGGTGTCAGGGTATGCTGCTGATCCTATGTCATCCGAGATGATAGCCAAACTCACCATTGATTCTGCAGCCGTGCCAGGATTTTCTCTACGAGATGGTGTTCTCCGTCAGGGAACACGTATTTGGATTGGGGACAACAAGGTACTGCAACAGAGAATTCTCCATTCCATCCATGCCAGCGCTTTGGGGGGTCACTCTGGATTTCCGGCAACATATACTCTGTTGAAGCAGATATTCCAGTGGCGTGGCATGAAATCTGCTACCCGAGACTTCGTTCAAGCTTGTCTTACTTGTCAACAGGCTAAGCCCGATCGAAGTCGTTTTCCCGGTCTCCTTCAACCTCTGCCAAT